TAATTTAGTAGATTTTTTTAAAAAAAATAGTGCAACGATAGTTCAACTTATACGTGCAAGAAACGTGATCAGAAACTATTTAAATGAAAACACAAAGAGATTGTAATGTTGAAATATTCTCTAACTTTTTATGTTCCCTCTTATTTCAACACTAGGACATGAGCATCAATAAATTTTATAAGATATCTTTTTCATCATAAAAATCAGCTTTCTTAAAATCATAATCTATAGAAATTACGATCTTCATCGCCACTTCATTGCAAATTACAATGCTTCCTCGGTCCAGTAATTGTCATTGCAATGAATCTTATAATATAGAAAAATAAAAACGCATCTTAGACGTTGCACACAATGTTTATAGGCAAAATTGATAGTATAAGTTTCTTAGAGTTTTACCTTACTTGAAAGGCGAATTTAAAATTAAAAAAAAACGTTCATACGAATTGATGTAGAGTTTCCTTCAAGAACAATTAACAAAAATTGCCTTAAAAGTAATTTAACTAAAAATATAAACATATATAGTACGGCATGACCTATTTTTTCCACATCTTGATTGGCCATATTCTCAGTAGTGCTCGTAGCTTTTTCCAAAGTTAAGTCAGACTTGTGCCTTGAAAGCTTTGTGTGCCACTTGTAGAGGTTTCTTCATTTTCCTCCACAAAATGATATAATTTTGCAATCAATTAGCTAATTATTTATCATAGAAATAGATTTTCTACATGAAATATCTACTTTAATTCCCTTATGTATAAAAAAAATACACAAACTTATACATGATTTTGTATGTGTTAAGTGTGTATGCGTTTTGCTGATTGTTGCATTGTATTGTAGGTTAAAAAAATGTTTCATAGAGGATAAGTAGGTATTTTTTAAAAGGAGTATTTATATAAAATAAAATATCATATAAAGAATTAGCACAACAAGATTGTCATATGTGATGGTTTGAATAATAGGTACTTATATATCATACAACTTTGTAATAAAGAAGAGTTATAAATAATGATATCAAAAATAGGAAGGGCATGTCAAAAAAGGATCTACGGGCAAAAATAGATATAAAGAAAGCCTATAACCCTATTTGCTCAAATTAAATCTAATGTTAACTTAAGTTTCTACAAATATTAATAGTTAGTTGGACGGTGTAATGTGTTATTAGGGTTATTTATTCAATCATGATCTGTGACAAAGATTTTACTCATTTTTTAGTCTTCCCTCATTTATGAAATGAGTTTTGAAGAATTTTAAGTTGGACCACTAGATTTGTATTTAATGCTTGCATAACTCAGTTAGGAAAAAGTATCTTATTTTCCATAGAGATATTCAAGTCACAAGTTTTCACACAGCCTAAGAAGATCGTACAATTCATTGGATCTATCTGCAAAAGGTTTTTATGAACTGAATATGTTGATGCCCCTAAAAAGTATTAATTGATTTGGAAAAGTTATGTTTCCTCAAATTGATTGGTGGTGTAAATTTCCTTGAGGTATGCAAGAAAGTGGTTCTTGAAAAACAATTATGAAACTTATGCAAGAAAAAAGGACAAATGGTGGATGGTATGGGTACATAATTATTAAGGAGGATAATATCGACCTTAACTAGTCAAGCAAGGAGATTACATGACCTAAACGTATAACCTTAAATATGATCGATAATGTATTAGTTGTGTTTAAGGTGCTTGAGCAAGACTTGGGGCCAACTGTCCTAATCTACTAGTTTTTTATTTGTAAAGTTCTTTAAATACTATATCTTATCTATAACAAGTACTTGTATGAACGATATATCGATATTAAATCATAACAATGAAAAGTGAGAATACATATCTTTCGTTCATGGTTTGACAACTAATTGTTAAATATAAAATCAAAAGATCTCAATTGGTAAGTCAAAGAGAAAGTGATGTATCATGTTCTGTAATTGATTATTTTATAAGACGTGTTGAGAAGAATTTTAAGTTGGACCACTAGATATCTATCTTATACTGATATAACTTAGTTAGGTAAACATATCTTGTTTTCCATGCAAATATTCTAGTTACAAGTCGTAGCACGACCTAAATAGATCATACAAGCCATAGGATCTATTTGCAAAAGGTTTTTATAAACTGAATATGTTGATGCCCCTAAAACGTATTGATTGCTTGGAAAACATTATTATGCTTCAAATTCGTTGGAGGTGTGAACTTTTTAGAGGTATACAACAAAGTTGTACTTGAAAACCTACTATGAAACTTATACAAGAAAAAAGGACAAATTGTGAATGGGATGGGTACATAGTTATTATGGAGGATCATCTCAACCTACACTAGCCAGGCCCTAAGATTACACGACCTTAATGTATATCCTAATTATGATAGATAATGTATTGATTGTGTTAATGGTGCTTGAGCAAGGCTTGGGCCCCGATGTCTAAATCTGCTAGTTTTTTATTTGTAAAATTCTTTAAATACTAAATTTTATATATAGGAAAGTACATGTATGAATGAGATGTTGATACTAAATCATAACAATGAAAAGTTGGAATACATATCATTCGTTCATGTTTTGACAGCTAAATCATATATATAAAATTAGAAGAAATTATGATCTTCATTTCCTCTTCATTGCAAATTCCAGTGTTCCCTAGTCCCGTCATTGTCATTGAAACGAACCCTACAATATAGAAAAATCAATACGCATGTTAGACATTGCACACAATGTTTATAGGTAAAATTGATAGTATAAATTTCTTAGAGTTTTAACTTACTTGAAACGTGAATTTAAAATTTTTTTAAAAAGGGCTCATATGGATTGTTATAGAGTTTCCTTCAAGAATAATTATCAAAAATTGTCTTAAAAGTAATTTGATTAAATATATGAACATTTATAATACGACATGGCCTATTTTTTTCCACATCTTGATTGGCAACATTCTCGGTAATGCTCGTAGCTTTTTCCAAAGTTGAGTCAGACTTGTGCCCTTGAAAGCTTAGTGTGCCACTTGTAGAGGTTTCTTCATTTTTCTACACAAAATAAGATTGCTATGCAATAACCTAATTAGTTATTTATCATAGAAAATAGATTTTTCTACGTGAAATATCAAATTTAATTCTGTTATGTATAAAAAAATACATAAACTTATACATGATTTGGTATGTGTTAATTGTGTATGCATTTTACTGATTGTTGCATTGTATAGTAGGTAAAAAAAATTTATATAAAATAAAATATCTTATAAATATGATCACAACAAGATTGTCACATGTGATGATTTCAATAACAGGTACTTTTTTTAAATGAGTATTTATATAAAATAAAATATCTTATAAATATGATCACAACAAGATTGTCACATGTGATGATTTCAATAACAGGTGCAAATATATCATACAACTATGTTACAAGAAGAGCTATCAATAATGATATCAAAAATAGGAAGGGCATGTAAAAAAGGTTCTATGGTGAAAAAATACATAAATAAATTCTATAAACCTATTTGCTCAAGCAAAACTTAATGCGAACTAAAGTTTCTTCGAATATTAATAGTTAGCTGGATAGTGTAGTCTATTATTAGGGTTATTTATTCAATCATTATCCGAGAGAAAGATTTTACTCATTTTTTAGTCTTTCCTAATTTATAAAATGAGTTGAGAAGAATTTTAAGTTAGAAGACTAGATTTTCAGTTGGCAAAAGTATCTTATTTACCATAGAAATAATCTAGTCACAAGTTCTCTCACAACCTAAGAAGATCGTACAATTCATTGGCTCATTGTGCAAAAGGTTTTTATGAACTTAATATGTTGATGCCCCTAAACAGTATTGATTTCTTTGGAAATGTTATGTTGACCCAAATCCGTTGGAGGTGTGAACTTCCTAGAGGTATACAAGAAAGTGATTCTTGAAAACCTACTATGAAACTTATGCAAGAAAAAAGGACAAACTGTGGATGGTATGTGTACATGATCATATTGACCTAAACTAGCCAAGCCAGGAAATTACATGACCTAAGTGTATATCCTTAAATATGATTGATAATGTATTAGTTGTGTTTATGGTGGTTGAGTGAGAGTTGGGGCCAACTGTCCAAATTTGCTAGTTTTTGTTTGTAAAGTTCTTTAAATACAATATCTTATATATAAAAAGTACTTGTATAAACGATATATCGATGCTAAATCATAAAAATGAAAAGGTGAGATACATGTCCTTAGTTCATGGTTCGACAACTAATTGCTAAATATAAAATTAAAAGATCTCAATAGGTAACTCAAATAGAAAATGATTTATCATGTTCTGTAATTGATCATTTTTTAAGATGTGTTGAGAAGAATTTTAAGTTAGACCACTAGATTTCTATCTTATACCGGCAAAACTCAGTTAGGCAAACATATCTTGTTTTCCATGCAAATATTCTAGTTACAAGTCTTTGCACGACCTAAGTAGATCATACAAGCCATTTGATCCATTTGCAAAATGTTTTTATAAACTTAATATGTTAATGCCCTTATAAACTGTTTATTGCTTGGAAAACGTTATAATTTCCCCAAATTCGTTGGAGTGTGAACTTTATCGAGGTACACAACAAAGTTGTACTTGAAAACCTACTATGAAACTTATAAAAGAAAAAAGGACAAATTCTATTACGGAGGATCATCTCAACCTACACTAGCCAGGCCCCGAGATTACACGACCTTAATGTATATCCTTAATTATGATAGATAAAATATTGATTATTTTTACGGTGCTTGACCAAGGCTTTGACCCCGATGTCTAAATCTGCTAATTTTTTGTTAGTAAAATTCTTTAAATACTAAATCTTATATATAGAAAAGGACTCGTATGAATGAGATGTTGATACTAAATCATAACAACTAAAAGTTATAATACATATCATTCGTTCATGTTTTGACAACTAATTCATATATATAAAATCAAAAGATCTCAATTGGTAAGTCAAAAAGTTTGACAGTAAACTTCAAATAAAATAGGAGAAACTCATTAAGATATATGTATATATATATAGAAAATCAAATGGAAATTAAAGAAAATTTAGCTTGGGGCAGAATGCGCTTTTTACGCAATTCTTTGAAATAAGCGGTTGTTTTCGTCACTAAATCAATCTCCTTCATAGTTTCTTCAATTTGTAACCTCAATTTATTTTGAATGGCAATGCTCCCGTACACAGGATTTTCAGATCTATTCTTAGCCTCTAAAATTAGGGTTTCAACCGTTTTTGCCTTCTTCTCATTGTCAGCAACAGAATTAAGCATCTCTATGATAGTTCTTACTTTGTAAAGTCGATTAATATTTTTGAAATCTTCAAATTTATTGGATGGAAAAAATGGAGCTAACGGATAATTCTCCTGACACCATTTTCTTTGGTACTTACATGCTGCACATTTACCCCTTGCACCTGCATCATTCATCTTTCTCACAATAGTTAAAAATTAGTCCTAAATAATTACTTAATAGAGTAGTGTATTTCTTATATTTGCCTCTCTTATTATGAAATTATAGAAGAATAGAGTGGCTAATCATAATATATAAAGACAAACTGAAATGACTTTTAAGTCAAAAAATAATAAGTACAGGGACACCTACTTTTTATTTTTGACTTATATTAAGTCATCTTAAAATAATTTTAAGTTAGTTTTTATATTATCAAACATTTCCCAACTTATTATAAGTGAGTTTTGACTAATTTTATATTATTTTTACATTTTTCAATCACTTTCACAAGTCGAAAATTTACTTTAAAATAGGTTTGACCAATTTTTATGTCAATCCAAACACCCACTTAGTTAGATATTTAATAGATTTGAGTTTTTTCCTTTAGAGGTTAGTGATATTTTTTACCTTTTTTTGTGGGAATTCTTTCTTGCTAGTAAATATGTTCACATTTGATTGACTAGTTTAGCGTATGTGTGTCGCGCATGAATTGTATGTCTACAAATAAAAAATATTATGTATAACAACAATTGATTTCAATATAAATGAAATACTTATTTAAATAAAAAAATATCATTACGTTGTTACAATAGTTGAATTTTAAGTAATTAAATATCTTTCAAAACAAATATTGTAGCTGAGTTGCTTATATAGTTTTTATAATTATAGATATTTTATTTTATAAGAAAAAAACTAATTATGTTGTATTTGATCCAAATATCTAGTTGAATTTTGAAAATGCATACATGCTTGAAAGATCTCTGGATATGTTTGTTAAACTTGTGCTCCTGCCAATGAGTATAATTAAAAAAAATATATTAAATGAAACATTATTAATTAATATACGTTAGTTATAAAACAAAAAATATAATGAATATTTAATTTCCTGAAAATAATAAAAATTTATGATATTCAATGAGCTCTAAATAGAAAAACAAAATACATTATAAAAGATTTCAATATTGACATGTCAACGAAAAATAATGTACATTACAAAAGTATTCAATATTCAATATTATATGAAGACTTACTGTACGTTTTGTAGCAAGATGGAAAATTCACTAAAAACATAAAAATGATACGCACAAAAAAATATTGATATAAAATAATTAATATTTAAATACTATAAGTTCCTCAGTAATTTAAACAGGGAACCAAAACTCCTATTAATATGTATAGGTTGGTTTTAAAGACTGAAATAGTAAAAAACTTATTGAAATTAGTTTTATCTAATTTGAAATATATATGGTTTTAACTAGACAACATGTTATCCTAAATGTTAAACTTCGTACTATGTTTAAATAAAGAATACAAACAATAAGAATATATCAGTTGTGATTTTACAAGTCAGATTAACGGAGGTAAGATTATGCAGACATTATTTCTATCTTTGTAAGGTAGAAAAGTTGTTCTAGATAGGCCATTAATGTAAAATAAATGTAATCAAAACATCATAGAAAGAAAATAATTTGGCAACAAAATAGCTAGATGGATAAATAAACAAATGAAGCAAAATATGATAGTGAAAATTAGGTAAATAAGATAGTACATACACACAAAATCATACTACAACACTATGCTACCTTATTATTCTTTTTACCTTTATCTTAGGGTTATATCCTTAGTAAGTTAAAGAAGCGTACAGTGTCCCTAATTATCTTCCCCCCCCCCCAAGTTTCATCTTTTTTTACCTATACATCTCGTCAAACTTCTCACACCTCCTTAAAGATGCATATTGGCTCCTATTCTTCACATGCACGTACCATCAGTCTCACTTTCTTATTTTTTTCTACTACAGATTTTTTTCTATGAGAAATGCATACAAAAGAAGGGAGGAATTATATGCAAAAAAATAAGAGAAATTCTTTCTATTTATAGCCGACAAAGGTTATAGATCCATACTTTTTAGAAAAAAGACAATCTTTTAGAAAGGTCACATGCAATCCTTTGGAAAAGGCACAATATTTCCAATGGTAACAACCCTCTAGAAAAGATACAACATTTCTTAAAGGTCACAACTCTTTGGCAAAGTCACAACCCTTCATTTCCCATAACACTCTTAAAACCCAACACCTAGAAAAATATTGCTAATGCTCCAGATAGATACCTTGCTAGGATTGATGAATAATATATGTACAATCATCATCAAACAACTCACTATATGATCATATTGATACTATTCACAAAAACTTGTATGTTATTTTGTTTCTTTCATATATAAAGTCAAAGACATAATTTAATAGATAAATTTTTAAAAAGTAGTGTACCGATAGCTTAAATTATACATGCATGACACGTGAGCTGAAACTATTTAAATTAAAACACAACGAGATAGTAATGTCGAAATGTGCTCCAACTTCTTATGTTCTCTCTTATTTCGTCACTAGGACATGATCGTCAAAAAACTTTATCAAATATCATTTTACGTCATCGAAATAAACTTTTTTAAAATCATAATCTACATAAATTATGATTTTCATTTCCTCTTCTTTGCAAATTCCAGTGTTCCCTAGGTCCCATCATTGTCATTGAAATGAACCCTACAATATAGAAAAATCAATAAGTATGTTAGACATTGCACACAATGTTTATAGGTAAAATTGATAGTATAAATTTCTTAGAGTTTTAACTTATTTGAAAGGTGAATTTAAATTTTTTTAAAAAAGGGGTTCATATGGATTGTTATAGAGTTTCCTTCAACAATAATTATCAAAAATTGCCTTAAAAGTAATTTGATTAAATATATAAACATTTATAATACGACATCACCTAACTTTTTCCACATCTTGATTGGCAAGATTCTCAGTAATGCTCGTAGCTTTTTCCAAAGTCGAGTAAGACTTGTGCCCTTGAAAGCTTTGTGTGCCACTTGTAGAGGTTTCTTCATTTTTCTGCACAAAATAAAATTATTATGCAATCTTACCAATGGTCACAACCCTTTGGAAAAGCCACAATCTTACCAATGGTCACAACCCTCTAGAAAAGATGCAACATTTCTTAGAGGTCACAAATCTTTGACAAAGTCACAACCCTTCAGGAGAGTAACAACCCTTAATTTCCTGTAACACTCTTAAAACCCAACACCTAGAAAAATATTGCTAATGCCCCAGATAGATACCTTGCTAGAATTGATGCATAATATATGTACAATCATCATCAAACAACTCACTATATGATCATATTGATAATATTCAGAAAAACATGTATGTTATTTTATGTCTTTCATATATAAAGTCAAAGACATAATTTAATAGATACATTTTTAAAAAGTAGTGTACCGATAGCTCAACTTATACGTGCAAGACACGTGAGCTGAAACTATTTAAATTAAAACACAACGAGATAGTAATGTCAAAATGTGCTCCGACTTCTTATGTTCTCTCTTATTTCATCACTAGGACATGATCATCAAAAAACTATATCAAATATCATTTTACGTCATCCGAATCAAATTTCTTAAAATCATAATCTAGAGAAATTATAATCTTCATTTCCTCTTTATTGCAAATTCCAAGGTTCCCTAGATCCCGTCATTTTCATTGAAATGAACCCTACAATATAGACAAATCAATACGCATGTTAGACATTGAACACAATGTTTATAGGTAAAATTGATAGTAAAAATTTCTTAGAGTTTTAACTTACTTGAAAGGTGAATTTAAAATTTTTTAAAAAAGAATTCATATGATTGTTATAGAGTTTCCTTCAAGAATAATTATCAAAAATTGCCTTAAAAGTAATTTGATTAAATATATAAACATTTATAATACGACATCACCTATCTTTTTCCACATGTTAATTGGCAAGATTCTCAGTAATGCTCGTAGCTTTTTCCAAAGTCGAGTCAGACTTGTGCCCTTGAAAGCTTTGTGTGCCACTTGTAGAGGTTTCTTCAATTGTATGGGTACATAGTTATTACGTAGGATCATCTCAACCTACACTAGCCAGGCCGCGAGGTTACACGACCTTAATGTATATCTTTAATTATGATAGATAATGTATTGATTGTTTTTACGGTGCTTGACCAAGGCTTTGACCCCGCTGTCTAAATCTTCTAGTTTTTGGTTAGTAAAATTCTTTAAATACTAAATTTTATATATAGAAAAGTACTCGTATGAATGAGATGTTGATAGTAAATCATAACGATGAAAAGTTATAATACATATCATTCGTTCATGTTTTGACAACTAATTCATATATATAAAATCAAAAGATCTCAATTGATAAGTCAAAAAGATTGACAGTGAACTTCAAATAAAATAGGAGAAAGTCATTAAGATATATGTATATATATAGAAAATCAAATGGAAATTAATGAAAAATTTACCTTGGGGCAGAATGCTCTTTTACAAAGTTCTTTGAAATAATCGGTTGTTTTCTTCACTAAATCAATCTCCTTCAAAGTTTCTTCATTTTGTAACTTCAATTTAGTTTGAATGTCAATGCTCCCGTACACAGGATTTTCAGATCTAATCTTAGCCTCTAAAATTAGGGTTTCAACCGTTTTTGAATTTTTCTCATTGTAAGCAACAGAATTAAGCATTTCTATGATAGTGCTTAATTTTTAAAGTCGATTAACATTACTTCAAATTTATTGGATGGAAAAAGAGGAGCTAACGGACAATTCTCCTAACACTGTTTTCTTTGGTACTTACATGCTGCACATTTACCCCTTGCACCTGCATCATTCATCTTTCTCACAATAGTTAAAAACTAGTCCTAAATAATTACTTAATAGAGAAGTCTATTCCTTATATTTGCCTCTCTTACCATGAAATTATAGAAGAATAGAGTGGCTAATCATATAATATAAAGACAAACTGAAATGACTTTTAAGTCAAAAAATAAAAAGTACAGGGAGACCTACTTTTTGTTTTTGACTTATTTTAAGTCATCTTAAAATAAGTTTAAGTTAGTTTTTATATTATCAAACATCTCCTAATTTATTTTATGTTAGTTTTGACT